AGCCAGTCCCCGTCGCACCCCCAGTCGGACTCCTCCGAGTCCTTCGGGTCCGCCGCTTTCGCCGCTCTCTTCCTCTTGAGGTCTCTCCCGCGTCCTGCGGTTGGGTGAGTCGGGAGAAGCGGAGCCGGCGCCCTCCTTCTCGGGGGTTTTCCCCAGCGTCTCTGGGGCCCCCTTGCCCTCCTGAGCCGAGACATCTGGCCCTCCCAGCCAGATATTCATCAGCTCATGGTCGAGGGGTATGAAGTCCAGGCTCCGCCCCTCGACCATAGCCACCCACTCCTTTCGCTCCGGACTCTTCCGCGCCCTAAGGCTAGCGGAAGAGTCCCGAGCGGAGCCGGCGCCCTCACCCCTGAGGGATTTATTTCCCCCCCTACCCCGGGTTTTTTGAGAGAAAGAGGCCATCTCAAAAAATTCCCTCAACCCGCGGCGGCTATCCCGGTAGGGCATGCCCTCCTCCCCCATCCCTGGGGGAGGCCCCGAGTCCTCCCGGGGACCGGGATATGGCTCTGACCGGGGGAATTAACATCCCCGGCACTGGCCTCCAGCCCCCTACTCACCCCCCCACTACGGGGGTGCTTTCGGGGGTCCCGAGCTCCGACATCTCGGGCACCGCCGCGGGCATGCCCGCCGCCGGCTGGGCGCCCGCGGACGCCCGTTGCCCGTTGGAGTGGGGGCATGCCCGCCGGCTGGGCGCCCGCGGACGCCCGTTGCCCGCGGTTTAGACAATTTAATACAAATAAATATTTTATTTTAAAGTACAAAAACTTGGCGCTGCTCAACCGAATTTTAATAGGTAATTACCAAAGTTTTACAATAAGTTTTCGGAATACTTGTATTATTGCGTAGATATTTGTACAGATCATCATTCCTTTACTCTAATAATGTATCATCGCACATATCCGTGAGAAAAAGTTATAATCTCTCGCATGATAAACTGTATTCTCGGAATTTATCATAAAATGTCGGAGTAGCTTTCTGATTTTCCGTACATTGCTTGAGCATACTGACTATCTGCATAACAACACAGTTCTATATAATTTTATAAATTTATACATGTTTTTATATGAACAATTTTTATATAATTATCTGACTTTACAATTGTACACAATTATAAATAAGCAATTTTTTACATTACAATTTGTTTCATATAAAACAATGTCTAAATCTATAAAGTTATATACAGGGTGCGGCGCCAAAATCCGGACAAAGCGAACAATTTCTTTGAACAAAAGTTTATGAATGAAAAGTTAAGTTTTAGAAAAAATCCTTTTGCATGGCACTTGCGGAATCCCTATAGACCATAATTATTCAATATATCCGCCATTAGCTTGAATGTCGGCCTCTATTCTCAATCTGAAGCGTCCGCACGCACGCTGTAATGCAGTGCTGTCCATGCCGGTGAATGCTGCCTCAATGGTAGTCCTTAATGACGTCACATTGGTGATGCCGGGACTTGTTGGTAACCCTTTCAACTACGCTCCATACATAGTAGTCCGAAGGATTCAAATCTGGGCTATTAGGAGGCCAGAATTCTTTGGACCAAAACATATCGACATTGTCTGAGAGCCAGTTGAGCCAGCCTGCGAGTATCTCTCGTATCTTGAGTGTGTACGATTTGTATCGAAGATCCTCCTCGGCAATTCGACGCATTGTTGGCTCGCTTACACCCACAATCGACACCAATTTTCGCAACGATTGCCCTGGGCCCTCCAAAATCAGCGCTTGAGCCCTTTCGACGACTGCGGGGATCCTTGCGGTGCGTTCTTTCGAGTGACTTTTCCTCGCCGGCATACTTGAACTATTGTTGGACTGTTCTGAAGCCGTATATTTTGTCTCAACGTCATAAACGGTTGATCTCGGGTATCCAAAGAACCGAATTATTTCCATTGCTGAGCGCCCAGGGCGAAGCCCTTCGATGATCGCGGCTCTTCGATTATACTCCGCAATTGGTTTCAACATCGCAGCTATTTTGAGATTACGATTGTTTTCTAAAAGTATCAGGCTTTCGCAGACGCCAACAACGATCTCTAACAGAGGCACAATAAGGCGAGAAATTTAAATCGAAATTTGTCCGGATTTTGGCGCCGCACCCTGTATACACAAACATAACAATATATGCCTTAACCCTGTATAAGCATACAAATACACATACAATACAATTGTACACAATTATAAATAAGCAATTTTTTACATTACAATTTGTTTCATATAAAACAATGTCTAAATCTATAAAGTTATATATACACAAACATAACAATATATGCCTTAACCCTATATAAGCATACAAATATACATACAAAAATATATCGCGCGCACGCTAGAGAGAGAGAGAGAGAGGCGCACACCACACACATACAATTGTACACAATTATAAATAAGCAAAATTTTTGACATTACAATTTGTTTCATCTAAAATAATGTCTAAATCTATAAAGTTATACAGAACTGTGTAGAATTGTAAATTTGTAGGCACACCACACACACACACACACACACACACACACACACACACACACACACACACACA